AGGAACAGCTAAAACAAGAATGCAGGAAGCTATAAATACAGTTAAGAAATGGACAGACTCTTGGGGAGTCACAATAAATCAGACCAAAACCGTCTCAACTTTGTTCTCTCTTTTCACAAAGCCAGAACAGGTTGATCTTTACCTAGAAGGCAACATCCTTCCAAAAGAGGATAACCCCACACATTTAGGAGCAAAATTTAACAAAAGGCTAACTTGGGGCCCCCACATTGAAGACACCCAAAGGAAAGCTACCCTGAGGCTCAGACTTATAAAGAAACTTACTGGAACAAGCTGGGGTGCAGATGACAACACTGTACGACAAGTATACATTGGATACGTACGACCAAAACCGGAGTATGGCATGGGAGCATACTCCACTGCAGCCAAAACAAACCTACACAAACTGGATAAAATATAGAAAACTGGTCTCATAATCATCACTGGAGGTATGAGAAGCACACCAATTAATGAGCTAGAGGCAACTTGTGGCCTCCAGAGCTTGAGCCTTCGAATGGAAGAAAAGGTGCTTACCCTAACAGAAAAATTTAATCGCATGAACAACAACCCCATGCATAGAATAGCAAATAACTTAACAAAAAACCGAATGAAAAGACAAATCTTTCACCAATTATCAAAACTGTACTAAAAAAAAAAAAAAACAGTGACATCCTTTCTAAAGATCCTTCAACATGGGAAATGATCCATGCATACAACATAGACCTACAGCTCAAATTTACAGTCACAACAACAATTCCAGGCATAGACAGAAAGGCAGAAGAATATGACCTAGTAATGCGTGCAAAGACCCCTGAACATGTCTGCAACAGTTATCCAAAACCCGAATGGACACACGTATGCACCAAAGGATCATTGGAGGGAGCAGACAAAAATGGAGGAGCTGGATCGGTCATCATGCTGCAAGATGGGACCACAGTAGAAACGGCATGCACCTCCGGAAGACTCAACAAACTTCAGATCAGAGCAGCAAGCAATTATTGATTCAGCCAAAGTGCTCAAGGAAAGAAAAATTAAAAACAGCAAAATTGTTTTCCTTTGTGACTGCATGTCAGTCCCCCAGGCGACTCATAGGGATCCACGAGACAACATAGAAAGAGAACTGACCCATCAGCTAAACAAACTCACAGAAAACAATCAAATCGTTCTCCAGTGGATCCCGGCTCACTGCGGCATACCAAGAAATGAGTTAGTAGACAGACTTGCAAAAAATGGAACAAAGAAGAAACAACACGCCCATTCATTGTCATTACCAGAAATCAAAACACTTATCAAAGGAAAATATCAGGGATTGTGGAGAGAACAAACAGTAAACATCCACAAGACCCCATCAACAGACTCAACAGAAAGCAACATACAACAATTTTCCGTCTATGAACAGGACACTGCAGGCTCAACTACCACATGCATAAAAAAAAGGTTGTGCAGTCCCCACAGTGTGTCTGTCAAACAGGACCCCAAACACCTCAGCACATTCTGCAGACCTGTCTACTCTACCTGCAACTTCGAAAAGACATCTGGCCTTAAGAGCAAAGTGTGCAGAGCAAGCTATGGGGAACCTTGCAGGACCTGCAGCTGACATGCGAGTTTATAGAGGCAACCCACCTGATCTGAGCATACGAAACCGAACGCAGAGAAGAAGAAGTTAAACTTCTGACACTACAGCACCATCTAGCTAGTGCCTGCACTCACGGTCTAATGGGATTAAAACACTACTCAAGTATGAATCTTCTTTGGACGGACACAAATCCACTCCTCTCTCCTCGCCCAAAGTTACATATACAGTAAGCATGTGAATAATTTTCAAATGGTTAATAGACTATGTACATTAAGTGTAAATACAATTAAAAAAAGTCAGTGTCTATCTACATATAGTGACAATGTCAGCTGAATGTTGATCAAGACATATTTCTCTGTATACAATGTCAATGTCGCCGATTGTAGATAAAGCCATTGCTGTGTTCATAAAGTGAGAGAGTCGTTGATTATCGATGTATTTGATGTCATTTTACACAAAGTTGTGAATGTTGTTGATTGTTGATTAAAAAAAATATTTATCTACGTAAAGTGACGGTGTCACTGATTGTTGAATACATTCCCTTTCTACGTACATTGTGAATGTTGCCGATTATGGGTGATGACCTTTTATATATATATATATTTCGCTAATTCTTTAAGAAGTTGTACGTCTGCAGAAAGTTAGAATGTCCAGTGAATGTTGATGACTAAAATGTCTACCTTTAAGTGACAAAATCAATGTTTATCTACACAAAGTGAAAATGTCGCTAAGTCTTGATGAAGACATTGTCTAGCACCATAAATTGTAAAGTCCCTGGTTATTAGGGCCCACACTGGCTCTTTTTCAGAAGGATAGGTGTCTCTGACTCTTTTTGCACGCATTGACTTTGTACAGAAAAATAGAAAGCCCCTAGTTCATTCTGGCCTCATTATCCAAATTCTTGATTAAGACGTCATCCGTCTTAGGGAAACAGTCACCGTTTAAAATTAGAGTACACTAGAGTTTCAGTTTTGGGGTACATATATAGATAATCGGGGAACACACACACTGCTATTTAGTAAATTGTTACGCTGATATTGGCTCTCTTGTCACAAAGAAACTTTGTGACTGGTAATATGTTTCATACCTGTTGGGACAGAGCATGGGACAGTAATGGGTGAAATAGACAAGGAAATAATCTAGCAGAGGCTGTAATCGATGCAGAAGGAGCACGTATAAACGACAGTAGGCTAACTAGAATGGCAAGAGGAAGGTTTTCTGATTATTTCATTTATTGCCAAGAGTTCTGGGATATAGTAATAGTTAAAATTTGTTCGTCTGAAGGATCTTCTTTAGGTTTATCAACTAGGCGACATGCAATGTCTCCTAGGGTGGGGACAGATGGTTCTGTAGTGTTTTGAGGAACTTCAACAAGTTGTTTATAGGTTCTTAACATATTGATGTGGTATATTTTCAAATTTCCCCCCTGTAAAGGCTAGCGGATAATAATGGATCTTTGACACTAACACGATTGCGTGACATTTGAGTAAAGCATGGTGAAGAACGTCAATGCCGCCTTCGAGACCGAGATAGGAGACATTATAACCAACATCCTATGGGAAAGAGTTAGTAGAAGAACACTGGAATGGCTGTTGCAACAGAGGACGGAGCACTCATAGAAATGTCCAATGTGCAGTGACGTTGATTGTGATAACATCAGGAATCATCGACATTACGCTATATGTTGACAGACTGATTTAATACAGAATCAGCAACATTCTAGCTTTATGTTGGCAGGCGATGGTTTCCTTATTATCAGTGAATTCTGTAGACAGACAAGGCCTTCATCGATAACTGGGCGACACTAACTCTGTATGTTGACCGACAATGAGTACATCGAGATTCAGGCGACACCAACGCTTTATGTTGACGGACAATGAGTTTACCGGGATTCAGAAAACATTTAAAATTTCTTTGTGTGAACAACGTCTTCATTGGGGATCTGAGACATTCTCACTCTCTTTGTGAGAACAATGTTTTCGTTGGAGATTTATTAAGACACTCTCACTCTCTTTGTGTGAACAATGTTTTGGTTGGGGATTTAAGACATTCTCACTATCTTTGTGTGAACAGCATCTCCATTTGGGGATCTCAGACACTCTCACTCTCTTTGTGTGAACAATGTTTTGGTTGGGGATTTAAGACTTTCTCACTATCTTTGTGTGAACAGCATCTCCATTTGGGATCTGAGACATTCTCACTCTCTTTGGGTGAACAATGTTTTCGTTGGGGATTTGAGACATTCTTACTTTCTTTTCGTGAACAATGTTTTCCTTGGGAATTTGAGACATTCTCACTCTCTTTCTGTGAACAATGTTTTCGTTGGGGATTTGAGACATTCTCACTTTCTTTGCGTGGACAACGTTTATTTGGGGGATTTGAGACATTCTCACTCTCTTTGCGTGGAGAACGTCTTCGTTTGGGATCTGATACATTATCACTTTATTTAGCAAAAAAGGGCTGTATTACTGTCGCGTAAAGTAGGTTGACAAAGAAGACACACAATAGAAAGACTTTACTAATGAGCTTTGTATAGATGGGGGAGGGGGATGGAGAGAGAGAGAGGGGGGGGGGGTGATGAGCTACCAATATTACATTTATAAAGTGATTAAACAAGTGTTTGAGCAAGTGTTTGAACAAGTGTTTGAACAAGTGTATGAACAAGTGTTTGAGCAAGTATTTGAGCAAGTGTTGGAACAAGTTATTAAACAAATGTTTAAGCAAGTGTTTGAGCAAGTGTTTGAACAAGTGTTTAAGCAAGTGTTTGAACAAGTGTTTGAACAAGTGTTGGAACAAGTGTTTGAGCAAGTGTTTGAACAAATGTTTGAGCAAGTGTTTGGACAAGTGTTTAAGCAAGTGTTTGAGCAAGTGCTTGAACAAGTGTATGAACAAGTGATTGAGCAAGTGTTTGAGCAAGTGTTTGAACAAGTGTTTGAGCAAGTGTTTGAACAAGTGTTTGAGCAAGTGTTTGAACAAGTGTTTGAACAAGTGTTTGAGCAAGTGTTTGAACAAGTGTTTGAACAAGTGTTTTAGCAAGAGTTTAAACAAGTGTTTTAGCAAGAGTTTTGCATGTGTTTAAGCAAGTGTTTGAGCAAGTGTTTAAACAAGTGTTTGAGCATGTGATTTAACTAGTGTTTGAGCAGGTGTTTGAGCAAGTCCTTTAGCAAGTGTTTGAACATGTGTTTTAGCAAGAGTTTAAACAAGTGTTTGAGCCAGTGTTTGAACAAGTGTTTAAACAAGTGTATGAGCCAGTTTTTGAACAAGTGTTTAAACAATTGTTTGAGCAAGTATTTGAGCAAGTATTCGAGTAAGTGTTGCTGCCCTATTATTCTAGCAGCGAGCCAGCATACACTGACATCTACCACACTCGGCTTGTCAGCTGGGAAACACACATAGCTAGCTTAAATTACTTTGTGTTGCCTATTACTTTTTCTGGTTAACATGCAGTATGCAAGTGTAGCTAAAATGACTGCCAGGACGGCAATCGCTACAAAAATCCAGAACAAGATCCCAAGACTGCTGGTGGTCGCCTCTTTCGGCAATCCTGGTGGGAAAGAAGAAACCGTGGTTTTACATCTAGATCAGTATTACTCAAAACATTTGTCAACAAAGTTTCCGTGGTCTCTCCTGTACCCCTCCTCCCACGACTACCTTTCCCTCAATCTTTGCTCGCACTGATCGGATTTCACTAATCCCGCTCCCCTGCCCCACCGTTCAGATTCTGACGCGCGTACATGCTAGTGGTAGCGAGTTTAAATACCCTTTTCAAGCAGCAATGTTTAAGAAATTAAATATTTTCCCAAGTGGAACGAGTCTAAATAGATACTAGGAAATGTTATGAAAAGTAAAGGCAATCATTACGATACTGACCACATCAACTATTAAGCAACAATTGGTTGCCAAACAAGGCTGCTTACACTATATATCCAATAGCCAAAATGACATTGCATAATCCGTTTACAAGTTATCAGATGGAAGAGGGAGAATAGACGTGTTCGTTTGACTGATGTAATATTTAGTAGCTTTTTGGTCATTGTTCATAATAGTGATGATGCTGATGACACCTAACAGGTGTGATGATGATACAACACAAACAAACAACTTCACACAGTTCACAACGCATTGTACTAACAGCAAACTAATATAAAATATTTGATGATCCTTCTTTTTTTTTACACAGCTTATATTTGCTTAATATCTGCTTTTGATTAAAATGTTACGGAAACTTTCTTACAAAACCATCCATCAAGAAGAAGACGAACAACAGACATCCTAAACGATCTTAACATCCAGGTGAATTGCCTCGTAAACAGTTCATGGAAAGCGAGGTTTTCAAGTTTGCCGAGCAGCAGACGGCGATCATACTGACCATTGACCATGCTGACATTCTGAATTCTCAATGAAAAGTAAGACGTTTGGCAGAATCAAGTGATGACTGTGAATCTACCACTATGATCAGACAGCAAGAAAATGTTAAAATGGGTGTGGCCAATCAGAAGCCAAAGAAGAATATGAAACCAACACAGAACTGGTGTTGTGAGCCGGTACACGCTGCGGGATTTACTGAGGAGGGGATCCGAGCAGTTATGGACTGAGTGGTTCAATATACGATGAGGATAATCTGTTGATTAACTCATTTACTAACTAACTAACTATTCTTAGCCTAAATTAAAAATGCCAGGTATAGTACGTCATATATAGTGGGTACTGTTGTTTACTCACCCTTTACACCTTATTAGCACAGGGCGTTTTTACACATCACATTACACATACTATACATGTCCAGGCTTTCAGTTGTATTGGCAATACAGGGCAAGACCTATATTTCATAGACCAATCAGCACTTGGTGGATAATGAGATCAACATCATGCTGGCCGCCTTTACTTCCAAAGACTTTACCTGATACCTAATAATGCTGTGTCGACCTGGGAGTCAAGGTCATTTTTGTCAGGACAAAAAAAAAATCCGGCTCCGTCAGGACCTGAAATAATTACCTTTCGATCCTCAGGCGTGCATCTAGCTGCTACACTACAGCGGCTTCCATACTATCAATATATTATACTATTTTTAGAATGGATAAACATATAGTTTGAAGACCTCTTGTAACCACCAGATTGGGGGTGTCCGTTGCAAATTGGACAAGCCGTTTTCTCTAGGCTTTGAAGGTCGTGAAATCGTTTCGAGGCTCGGTTCATGGGTGCAGTTTTTACTGAGATCCCTGGAGATCGTCACCGGATATACGGAGGACGTGTTTTGTGTGACGCTCTCGACAGACGGCTAGTTGTTCTGGTAAGAGAGACTGACCCATGCTGTATAAAAACCCCGTGTCCATAAACTCGATCCTCTTGTCTGAAACTACTAGTTTAATTACATAACAGATCGATTCCTGTTATATGACTTGATGCATGCGGATTTCTTCTTCTTTTTTCTCTTTTTGCATCCTTTTTGGTCATTCTCCAGCATTCCGCTCCATAAAGAAGAACTGGTAAAATGATGCTCTTGACCAAAAAGGATGCACACAAGCTGTCCACCTTCCACCACACATGTCTACGTAGAATTATTAAAATTTTCTGGCCAGATACAATCTCAAACACTAAACTACTTCAAGCCACAAACCAAGAAACTTTAGACATTATGATCACCAAGAGAAGATGGAAATGGCTGGGCCACGTTATGAGAATGACTTCTAATATACCTGCCAAAACAGCTCTCACATGGACACCAGAGGGAAAGAGAAAACAGGGGCGCCCAAAAACAACATGGAGACGAACGATGGAAAGTGACCTGAGTGCGGCATCTTTGACATGGAAAACTGCACTGAAGATTGCACAGGACAGGAAAGCATGGAAAGTCCTGTCTGAAGCCTCATGTGCCACTGGGCATAATGAGAACTGACGATGACTGATGATGATGATGCATGAGGATGATGCCACAGCAAAATATAAACTACATTCAACATGACAACTGTCACGGGCTGACAAGGTGAAGACAGGCATGACCGTGATTGCTGCCTAGCTAGTATTTCCGTCTTTGGTGTTTTACTCTTTGATGAATGGTACCTTGTCTCAGGATGGCATACCGGTCTTACCCGGGTAGGTCTGTATTCCTCTGTTGGGTACTCCTCTTCCTCGAAGCAACTGATGCTCAAGAGATGACATGAGTATGTGAAGCTTGACCTCCCTCTGGTTTACGATTGAATGGGAGCCCTGTTTTAGCAGTAGCTTTGTACTGAAAGCTGTTCTGATCTGCCTGTTTTTGCCTCTGAGGAGGCTTCATTTAGAACCTAGACAAGAATGCTGTTTTTAGACAGTAACTCACACACAGCTACCACTCTACAGTTCGATCTATTCGCTACTACGGATTAATTTTTTCATTAACCAAGAAGACGTGGATGTAAACTCTCTGCCCCTCACTATTTTGTTTAGGCCACCCCCCCCCCCTATTTAAACCGTTCATCATTTTGCAAATAAAGACGGTCAGTAAGTTTACTGTATGGTACAAGCCCCATGGCACTGTATGCTTATATGTTGTGTTTTTAGTATACAGGCTTACGTCCTTTTGGTTTCAATGATACCATCAGAAAAACGGAGACATACGTAACTAGAACAACTTACCAGTGGTCAGAGCCGTGTCGTCCGTAGTCATCTCATCCCCATCTGCGTAACAACAAGAATCCACAAACACGTGATATTAGATGTTTATTAGAGACAACTACATAGTGTATCACACAAACACATGATTTTGTGTGCTTATTAGAAATAACTACATAGTGTATCACACAACCACATAATATGGTGTGTTTATTAGATACAACTACATAATGTTTCACACAAACACATGATAATGGGTGTTTATTAGATACTACATAGTGTGACAAAGAAACACTTGATACTCGGTGTTGATGAGATATGACTACACAGTGTATCACAAAAACACATGATACTAGATGTTTGTTAGATACAACTGCATAATTTATCAAACAATCAGATGATAGTGGGAGTTTATTAGAAAAACCACATAATGTATCAAACAAACAAATGAAACGGTGTGTTTATTAGATACAGCTACATAGTGTATCACACAAACAAATGAAACTGTGTGTTTGTTAGATACATCTACATAGTGTATCGCACAAACAAATGAAACTTTGTGTTTGTTAGATACATCTACATAGTGTATCACACAAACAAATGAAACTGTGTGTTTGTTAGATACATCTACATAGTGTATCGCACAGACAAATGAAACTGTGTGTTTGTTAGATACATCTACATAGTGTATGACACAAACAAATGAAACTGTGTGTTTGTTAGATACATCTACATAGTGTATCTCACAGACAAATGAAACTGTGTGTTTGTTAGATACATCTACATAGTGTATCTCACAGACAAATGAAACTGTGTGTTTGTTAGATACATCTACATAGTGTATGACACAAACAAATCAAACTGTGTGTTTGTTAGATACATCTACATAGTGTGTGACACAAACAAATGAAACTGTGTGTTTGTTAGATACATCTACATAGTGTATGACACAAACAAATGAAACTGTGTGTTTGTTAGAAACATCTACATAGTGTATGACACAAACAAATGAAACTGTGTGTTTGTTAGATACATCTACATAGTGTATGACACAAACAAATGAAACTGTGTGTTTGTTAAATACAGCTACATAGTGTATGACACAAACAAATAAAACTGTGTGTTTGTTAGATACATCTACATAGTGTATCACACAAACAAATGAAACTGTGTGTTTGTTAGATACATCTACATAGTGTATCACACAAACAAATGAAACTGTGTGTTTGTAATATACATCTACATAGTGTATCACACAAACAAATGAAACTGTGTGTTTGTTAGATACATCTACATAGTGTATGACACAAACAAATAAAACTGTGTGTTTGTTAAATACAGCTACATGGTGTATCACACAAACAAATGAAACTGTGTGTTTGTTAGATACATCTACATAGTGTATCACACAAACAAATGAAACTGTGTGTTTGTTAGATACATCTACATAGTGTATCTCACAAACAAATGAAACTGTGTGTTTGTTAGATACATCTACATAGTGTATGACACAAACAAATGAAACTGTGTGTTTGTTAGATATATCTACATAGTGTATCACACAAACAAATGAAACTGTGTGTTTGTTAGATACATCTACATAGTGTATCTCACAGACAAATGAAACTGTGTGTTTGTTAGATACATCTACATAGTGTATGACACAAACAAATGAAACTGTGTGTTTGTTAGATACATCTACATAGTGTATCACACAAACAAATGAAACTGTGTGTTTGTTAAATACATCTACATAGTGTATGACACAAACAAATGAAACTGTGTGTTTGTTAGATACATCTACATAGTGTATGACACAAACAAATGAAACTGTGTGTTTGTTAGATACATCTACATAGTGTATCACACAAAACAAATGAAACTGTGTGTTTGTTAGATACATCTACATAGTGTATCACACAAACAAATGAAACTGTGTGTTTGTTAAATACAGCTACATGGTGTATCACACAAACAAATGAAAATATGTGTTTGATAGATACATCTACATAATGTATCACACACACATACTTGATAGTGGGTGTTTATTAGATACAACTACATAGTGTATCCCAAACAAAAAGTTTTGTGTGGTTGTGTGATACACTATGTAGTTGTATCTAATAAACCCACAATATCATGTGGTTGTGTGATACACTAAGTTGTGATATCTAAAGAAAACCAGTATCATGTGTTTTTGTGATACCACTACATAGTGTATCACACAACCACATGCTATTGTGTGTTTATTAGATACCACTACATAGTGTATTACACAACCACATGATATTGTGGATTTATGAGATACAACTACATAGTGTATCACACAACCACATAATATTGTGTGTTTATTAGATACAACTAATGTTGTAGTCGAAAAAGAGGAGGGCAAAGATGAACCTGGAAAACAACATCCAGAAATCCGCCGTGTGGGTTATCACCCACTTTTTCATCAAACGGAAGACAGAGAAAGATTGCGGATTTTGTGGGCTAGTGCTTCCATTAATACACCTGCACGACCATCACGGATTATCTTATGTTAATAAAGTCATCCTTATTCTGCAAACATTAAAAAAAAACAAAAAAACTTAACACTAGAAGGAGAAGAGCCAGTCGCATGTAGCCTCGAAGACAGACACTAGAGAAGAGACATGAAACGAGACATCGAGCTACATAGACAACACACAAGATACATGGATCCATGGTCAACAGAGACACATAAGGTAGAAACACTATTGAGATGTCAGAGTCGACGATCAAGCTGTTAGTACCAAACAGGACTAGAAGCCAGGTGGCAATTACAGACACTAGAACAAGTTAAAACAATAACTAGAAATAAAAAACACAACGCGACCTTGAGAGTATGCAACCATAGAGAGAACACAGTATTTCAGTATATCAGTGATGTTGTTTGTGACATTGCTGAAGTATCACAATAAAGACAATACAGACAAGAACAGTTGTTTCCAGACATGTTATTATTCAAGCACTAGAGTCACATGAGAAGCATGCAGCTAGCAAGACATCATCATCATCATCATATCAACTATCGACACGACCATCTTTCCACTCGTCTATACCCTTTCAATCAACTCCTCTTGAAGCAAACCTAAAGACGAACCTGGGTGTGACATCAACGTAGACAACGAGGAACACAGCTGTGCTACATTTATGATTCTGGTATACACTGCCGGCTTTAATATTACGATATACAAATTTAAAGGTTAAGGTCAGGAGAATCGACTTCACTGCACAAGATTATATTCAATATGGCTAACCACCTGCCTAGAGCGCTTAATAGGGCACGCACACCGTAGCTCCAGCGACGATCCCCATCAATCCTAGTAAATGTTGCCCTCGTGAACTGAAGGGCGCAGTGGTGAAACGAAACCACGACATTCAGAACGCGAGAAAAACAGCTTGACCACTTGGCCACGGCGACCCGCAGATAATATTATAGGGAAACTGCAATCGAAAATACAACACTAAAATGTTCCTACCTGTTCCTGTTGGTCCATTTATGCCTGTAGTTAATTCGTCTGTGTAAAAGATATATTGTAAACTGATCAGTGAATGTTCATAACACACACCAATTAAGTATCATTTAAATATTATTGCTAATGGATTTGTTGACTCTTGGACACCGAGCCACCTAGGGTCGCTTTTCTGTGCAGACACTGAACCACCCAAGTGTCGCTTTTCTGTGGAGACAACGAGATACTCCATAAAAGATTTTCTGTAGAGACACTGAACTACCCCAGTGTCGCTTTTCTGTGGAGATACTGAGCCAACCCATGGTCGCATTTCTGTGGAGATGCTAAACCATATCAGTGTGGCTTTTCTGTGAAAACACCGAGCCACCCCAGTGTCGCTTTTCTGTGGAGACACCGAGCCACCTCAGGGTCGCTTTTCTGTGGAGACACTGAACCACTAAGGTGTCGCTTTTCTGTGGAGATACCAAACCACCAAAGTGTCGCTTTTCTGTGGAGAGAACGAGCCATCCCGGGGTCGCTTTCTTGTGAATAGACTAGACCACCCTAGTGTCGCTTTTCTGTGGAGATACCAAACCACCAAAGTGTCGCTTTTCTGTGGAGACACTGAGCCACCCCAGTGTCGCTTTTATGTCCAGACACCAAGCCATCAAGTGTCGCTTTTCTGTGGAAAAACTGAGCCACACCGGTGTCGCTTTTCTGCCGAGACACCCAGCGACCCCGGGGTCGCTTTTCTGTGGAGACACTGTGCCATCCCGAGAAAAATTACCCTGTTTAGTTACGTATTTTATCCGATACAGTTGCCCCCTCTCCATTTTTTCCCCTTTGTCAAGATATTAAGTGTAATCAACTAGAGATGACCGCTCTAGAGCCCAGCAACAGAATCCACAAGAAGAGATAAGTAAAGGCGTGCATCGATCACCTGCGCATCGCTGATGACGATCACGGCCCTTTAACAGCTGAACCGTTATCGCCAACAGTTAGTAACAAAAACTTACACAAGTCAGTCTGGTTACGTTTCTAGTTTACCCGCAAACGTGGGAGGTGATGTTCATTATATGATTATGTAGGTATTATTTAAACGTGTACTGACTGACTGACTTTCTACCCCACCAGGACATAACACAAGCGATAAACACCCGATGACACAAAGTGCCACCATGTGGATGAGGATCGCCTTGGAGAGGTCCCAGAAACCGCGTTCAGACAATTGGCCATATTTATGGCCTGCCTATATTGCGGCCCCTGGCAAAAGCCAGGGTGGGGCTTCAAACAACCAAAAATTTCGTCCTCAAAAGGACGAAACTGGATTGCAACATTTTCTATCGCTTCTCGGCCTTTTGGCTAAGATCAAAGTGTAGGCAATTTAAACGTGTAGCATTATTCAGGATGTTGCGCCTGCTGTCTTGCTAATGATTCTTCTGCTCAAAATTTTACTACAGTCTCAAACATCGATCACGAGCAGCTGATTCATTTTGTTTTTGCATTCACGCTGCACCCCACGCTAACCCTATTACCGCCAGTTTCATCCAGTTTAAACTGCATCATCGCCCTAGTCAAACAGATGAATCAAAGCAAAAAAACATCTTTATGATGGCACCTATCGCGGCTTTACGAGATACTTAATGACAGCACATCCCGTCTATCATGCACTGTTGCATTAAAACACACAAGCCAGAGTCAACAGTTTAATATTTATTTTTACACAGTTCTAATGAGGCATTGGGAAAGATACGCATGTTCGTCTTTATTACAGTTATTATTGTAATTGATAGTGGAAGGTTCTTCTCACGAGATTGGCAGCACGGCGAGTGTTCCTTTCCTTCGCATTCATACAGCGGTAGGTTACTCGAGGAGAAAGACACAGCTGCCTGGCCGTATTGCATAACAGAGTCGAGGAGACAGACACAGCTGCCTGGCCGTATTGCATAACAGACTCGAGGAGACAGACACAGCTGCCTGGCCGTATTGCATAACAGACTCGAGGAGACAGTCACAGCTGCAAGGCCGTATTGCATAACAGTCTCGAAGAGACAGACAAAGCTGCTAAGCCGTATTGCATAACAGTCCCAAGGGGACAGTCACGACTGTCTGGCCTTATTGCATAACATACTCGAGGAGACAGACGCAGCTTAACAATCCAGGGCATATAAAAACAGCATTAGAAGACTCATGGCCGTGACGACTATGTTTAGTGTTACTTCATAAGCCGGGAGAATGATAACACAAAACTAGATGGCGACACAATCATTACATTCCAGAAATCGTATAGGAAACGCATGGAGCCATCGTGGTCATAACGTTGACGCAAAAGTGAAAGTCAAGTGGTACCTACACTAGCTAGATAGCGCCGGGGCAGAAATACCTAGTGCAATGCTGCAGTATATGTTTTCGCCAGTTATGAGGGCTTCCAGAATGAATGGAAACTGCCACAAACACCGCTGACTTAAAAACGCGTTCAACAACGTCAACACAACATGGTCATTGGATTGCTGTTGAATATGCGCAGAGAGACGAAGTGGATCAACTGGATCAACTTTATTAAGCCATCAGAGTCCTCCGAAAGGAAGGCAGCATGAAGAACCCAACACTATTGATGGAATATTCAAGAAAATATAAATAAATGAAGTTGTCCCAACAGACTAAAGGAAAAAAAAAAAGTTTTTTTTTGTCACACTTCAACAATTGGAGAGGCAAAGCATTATTGTCTTAAAGTCATAAATGCCCCCTACAAAAATAAAAAAAAAAAAACATCCATAGGCACACGGACGGGCCTTCTTTGGAATCTTCTCGAACACCTGGACCATTTGGACTTTGGACGTTGCAGATTGTATCTGTGTCATCAGCTAAAGTAAAGAACATATGCAACAAAAGACAGATAAAATCACATAAATAGCAAAACAGACAGGGTTAAGAATCAATGTCAATAAAACCAAACTGTTGGAGATAAACCCTAAACGTGAAAGACCTAGAGTAATAGACAATGTAGGTTTGTAAACAGTAACTGACTTCACTTACCTGGGAAGCAATATCTCCTCGGATGGAAATTTAGTGGTTGAAATCAAGCGGATAATTGCAAAGGTAAATGCTGCTTAAAGCAGACCTAAGAGTGTTGGAGATCAAACATCTACAGCACTGAAACTAAACTCAGGATATACAAAACATCCGTTACCACAGTTCTCCTCTATGGAGAATAAACTTCGAAAACAGACAGAAAGATAGAGAGCATGCTTAGAGATTTTGAGGGAAGACTTCTCAGAAGATTGTTGGGGTTCACATGGGCAGATAAAATAAACAATTCTAGATGACAGACAAATGACAGACTTAGAATATGTAAATTAGGAAATTATAAAACGAAGGCGCGGTTGGATTGGACACGTTCACATAATAAAAAAAGAAATAAGGCCTAGACAGGCAATGAAATGGACACCACAAGGACAGCGAGGAAGATGCAGGCTCAGAGGCTCCTGGAGGCGAACCTTTAAGGCTGAAGTGAAGCCAACGCAAAGGACATAACTGGAGATAGAGAGGATGGTTCAGGATCGAATTGAGGGGCGACAGTTTGTCTCTGCCCTGTGTGCCTCTGGGCCTGATGAGGATTGGTTGATTGATTTTCGACCTCCTAGCCCCATGAACCGGATTTCAGCCCAGGGCTGGCTTGGTACTTGTGGGAGATCCTTCATGGGACTTCATAGTCTGAAAAGCATACCGGAAGAATGAGACGCAACGGCAGGGCACGTGGTGGTCGCCTGCTCAGAGCTACTTTAGTGGCGCACATGTCGTCAGTAGAGACCCAAGACGTCCATCACGGAGATGCACAGCTGTTTCTCTCTGACTAGGTAAAAACGAAGATGAAGTTTCCACCCGCAAGATACAGGGTGTTGTGATGCAAGCTCAAAATTGCTTCATGTAAGGTTATTGATGGCGAATTTACAAAGTCATCGCAAGAGGACAAGCTAGCAGGATTTGGTGACATAATTTACGCTTAATGTGCCTGCGAGTTTGGGACATTAGAGAAGACGAAGCCAGACGTCATGCGTGAGAAAAGCAGAAGGCAGGCAGATATTGAGAAGTGCAGGGCAGACAATAATGCACTACGAAAACTGTTCAAAGCTGGTACAGGCAGCGAACAGGAAGGACTACGTTGTCTGGCTGCACCTGAAGAGCAGACACAGTGTCCTCTATCGCGCTGAGCGTTTCTGTCAGAACAGAAGACGGAATAAGAGGAAAGGAGAGAAGTTCTTTGTGGACCAGTTTCAGTTTTACGGAGGCCTCTTTGAGCAGACGAAGTCTGGGAAACGTGTAGTTAGTAAAGAAATTACGGAGTCGCATATACTGCAGATGCACTCCGACAGGACAGGGAATCTTCTTCTTCTTCTTCTTCTTCGCGTTCACCAGCTGTAAACTCTGGCGGAAGGCTCTGGCTGCTCGTCCACTACTGAACTGCAGTCCTGCTCCAGAACCTGAGTGTTGCGTGTGCATCAGTTTTACAGATCTTATTCTCTTGAATACAGACTGTTGGTTCCTTGCCTCTCCGGCAGATGCACTCCGACTTCAAAGGAAGCTCCCCAATTAGTCGACTCTTACGACATGCTTTTGGGGAGGCAGTGGGTCTATTCTTGTTTTCCCCACAATGGGGCCCCGGAACCCACACGGGGGAGGACAGGGAATGATTCTCTCGTTGATAGTCAAGTGATTTTCAGTGGCCCGAAGTGGCTGGAGGTGCCGAAGGCAAAGTTCTAGACGATGCCTCCCTCTTGGTCTGAGGTCGAAGAAAATATTGAAAGAGCCAGCGGCATTTCTGCTCAGGACCCATCGGTGTCCTGCCTGTGGTATGAAAAAAAAAAATGTCCAAAAGTCCTGCGAAAGTTTCACAGCTTGAAAAGGCTCGCGTGAAGCCGAAAGTATAAATGTAAGGGTTGACAGAAGGCTAACGGAGTCTACATTCCCAAGGAGCGAGACTCCTCTGATCTATCCCAATTTAGGACTATCTCGTTGTTAAACGTTGAAGAAAAAATATTCTTCTGTTATTCCAAGCAGACTCATGC